AAACTTTAGACCTGTGAGCACCAACTGACCTCTGTCACCACTAGGTAAACCTGTTCCATGCACAGAGAGAGGATGCTGGGCAGGAAGGGCTTGAAAGCTTGACCGGGCTCTTGCACCACCAACTGCAGGATTTTTAGGAACTTCTGTACCACTCTACACCCGGCACTGCCCTCGTGCAAAACACTGGCCGCAAGCTGTTCCCTGGAGCAGATGTGACATTACATTTCTTAGTGTTAAGCATGATAGTAGCACTTGCCCCATAAAGTTTAAACTTTAATATAGATAGAGCATAATATTATTCTGACTACATTTAATAAAAGTAGATTGTTTCTAAAAATTGTGAAGTCAAATTTTTTTTCTCTTACCTGGTAAACATGCTGAGGAAAGTGTGGATGATCTGTCCTGTGAAGGCAGCACCCATCTGGACTCTCAATGCCTGAAACAGCGTCAAGAAGAAGGCCAACATCTCATCGGTCACATCTGAGAAAGAGAAGTGACATTTTATAAAGTTGCCAGATGACCTTCTGTATAGCAGTCTGCTGTCTTCAGAACTTATTTTTCTTTATTAAATCATTTATTCATTAGTTTTAGTCAAAACAACTACAAAATATGCGTATGATTTTGAAATGAGGTAGGGACACGGGACTCTTCTTAGAAATGATGTCCATATATTTTCTTGTGTGACCAATGTGCACTGCTGCTTGCTGTACTGGTGAAAAGCCAGGTCTATAATAAGGAAATGGAGCCAGTGAAAGAAACAAAATGTTTGCACATTGTTTCACTTACTTTCTAAAGCTTTGAAATTTTGTATGCATTATATAAATGTATGAACAAATCCCAGTTGCTACTACACAGATTACATCACTAGGTTGATGCAAAGTGCTTCGATGGTACATATATACCGAAGTTGATCTGTTGTGTTGCTACATGCACTGTTACGGAAATAAATGTGTCTCTTTTTATCAGATTTTTTTATTGTAAACTCTTGATGGAAAGTCCTGCTATAAATAAGACACAAACCTGTCTGCTGAATAAACACTGGGAAAAGGCTGAGGGACACTTGGACAGATTCCTGAAGACTCTGATAACAGATCTGACGTGATTTAGTGGACTCCCCAGAGATGCTGTCCACTAGGTCTCTGAGCACAGGCAGGGTCTGTTCTATCACTGCTTTCACTGGAGTAGAAAAAGAATAAATAAAAAAGATGGTCACAACAAAATCAGAGAAAGACAAAAAATTACATGGTGTGAAAAAGGACGTCATAATAATCTAAAACAGACCACAAATAACAAAACAAAACAAAAAAAAAGAACAATAACTCACTGTCATCCAGATCAGGTCGCCGTGGAGTAATGTTCACTGTCCCTCTTAAAGTACGATATTCTTGAGTGAGGGCTGCCACTAGGTTGGCATGACTGTTGGAGCGCGTTTGCCACTGCTGCTCACTCTCTGATAAATTTGGCCACGGGAGCAGCAGCATGTTGGATAAAGCCCTACATACCAACATGTGAGCCTATGTGAACAGACACATACAGATACAAATAGTCATTATTTATAAGTGCTGAGGATATTTCTGGACCAAAATACAAAAAGAGAAAAGAAAAATTTGCAAATCCCTCATCCCATAAACTTTGAAACTTTTCTAAAGGCATATTTACTTTGCTACTTCTCAAAACCGAATAAAGCAACTGACATTTACCTCTTGAGGAAGTCTGTGGGTCTGATTCGCTGCAGTTATGAGGTTGAAAATGTTCTGAACAGCTGTCAAAGTAACCAAGAAAACAGGTCTCACGGTAGATGTGATGGAAACCATCAGATGGCATGCGGAGAGCAGCAACTTTTCAGGTACCTAGAGATAAAGATCGAATTTTAGTGCTTACAGGAAAAGAAGCATTTGATAACATTCTACAGCGTTTGAATCAGGCCTGTTTTGTCATATGTGTAGGAACCCATTCAAAATGTATTCAGCACAATATATAAAATTACACATGATCGGGAATAAAATGCTATGAATCAACAGGTTTGCACCATTTTATCAAAATAACACTGAACACACAAGGGGAACAGTAACCAAAAGAGACCAGATAAATAAACTAAAAAACACAGAAAGACTTCTGTGAACACTGACCGCAGGTTTTAAGCCCTGGTTAATATTTTCTACATCATTCTTCCTGCTTAATGAACCACTGTCTCAACATGAAACCAACTCAACTTTTTAAATCAAGCATTCATGGAACTGCAGTTTCTTACATTTGACCCAAAATTAATTTGAATTGCTTACATTCCCCAAACAGGACGCGGTGCATGAATCATTTTCAAGCCCTTTTTAAATATTTGAAAATGTATACATCAAATACATTAGTCAAAGACTGACTTATTATTAAGACCCTCCAAATACATATGAGGAAAGCTACCTTGGCTGTGATGAGTGGACTACTGGCATCCACTGCAGATGTGATGAGTCTGATGAACTGGCTCTGGTTTTGATTGTGGACTTCACTGTAGAACTGTGCAAGCCAATGAGAGTAGGCTTGCAAAGCAGAAAGGGCTTGTGCATGTCTGTAACAACATCAGACACAGTTAAAACGTGCTAAATAACATACACCTGCTTCTCGCTCAATAAAGCTTACACCAGTTTGATCTGAACTTAGATTTAAAAAGAAACTTGACATGTTTACTATGTTTATTTTAGCCCAATTGTGTTTTTCAAATTTAGATTTAAAAAGCAACTTGACATGTTTACTCTGTTTATTTTAGCCCAATTGTGTTTTTCATGAAGTTCAAAGAAACACTACACATAATATCAGTCAGGATTTCTACCTAATCAACCCCAGATATGCAATTTTCTAACTTCATTATGCAAAATTTGAAGCTGCTCTGGTAGCAATGAACAGGAGGCAACACCATCACCAACACTGCATAAACAGCCAGGGTGGCTTCTCTGTGGCTCTAATTCAAGCTGTTAAATATGGTTAATAAGTGTCCAAATTCACACAAACATTGCACATGTTCAGTTCCCCTTTTTATGGTGCTGGTGACCATCTTCAATAACAGAGCAATATAGTCTTGTTATTTGTAACCTGTCAGTCACACAGACAGGGTTAGGGTTACATTTTCCTTTCGACATGTGACACTCACACGTCAATGAGGTCTGGCTTGAGTACAGAAGGCACAGCAGTCTCCAGGTCGTAAAGGCTGATCTGAGAGCCATAGCAAGTCACTTCAACCAACCTTGAAAAACAAAACCGTTCATTATGATACATGTGTAAACCCACAACACTCAGTGCAGTATGAAAAACAAATACATTTAAATATATCGTTTAAACAGAAAACAAAAACAACTAATGCCAAGTTGAGATTCAGTAACACCGACTAAAGGATGTCCAGCATTTTTAAACAGCGACTCTGAAACACAAATATAACCTTATGTTGTAGCTACAACAATTCCTTTTTTTATAGTTTGGACAAGTAGCACAGTACTGACCTCTCCACCACTGCCAGGCCATCACTGAAACGTTCAGCAAAAACTTCTCCAATGAAATGCTCAGCCAAGCGTCCGACAGCTTGAAGCAGGGAGCTAAGATCCCTGAGAGAACAGTGAAGTCGTCTGCAGTCATTCTCTGCCGTTATAGTGAGCCTCCGACCTGAAAGACGACGGATCACTTTAATCTATAGAGTTACCATCATTTGGTGAGAGTGTGCCTAAAACTAAAGATAGATGAAGCTGAATTGTTTTTCTTAAAAAAGGTAAGGGTTACTTACCAGTGCCAGTGGTGACAATAAACTGCTGTAAGCCCAGGTATACGTCCAAATTTTCTTGAAGGACTGGAAACTTGAGAGACAAAAGAAGGATAAGGCTGCTACTGACTGATAGATCAACATACATTAACTTGTAATAAAATCCAGTCAAATGAAAAGAACTTGGTTTCTTTTAAATATACTTTCATTTGTTTTACTTGTTAGCGTATAAACTTGTCACTGAAAACAGCAGGCATACAAATGTAAAATATAGTCTAGCCTGACAAGCTATTGACACCTAAAATAAACTAAAACTTTCTTCAATATCAAAACAAACTGTTTACTTGAAAAAATGTGACTTACAGAGCAAGACCAGGTTTTTTTTTAAGGCCCTTCTCCTGTTTAATGTCATGTGAATTGAGTCTACTGTAACACTAAAACTGAAACACATACTTCTACATTTCACAAATCACAAGTGTCATATGCATTATCAAATATCTACATAAAGAGAATTAAGGCTGCAGTTCAATATAACATTATATGATTATTTTGAAAACAACACGCACAGACTTCAGTCTGCCAAGGAAGGCCAGGTCATCTAGTATAATATTCAGCAGTCAGTATTTCTCCTTTAATGTTATGGAAAAATAGTGTGTACAAAAATGTTTGGTGTTTTGTGACTGCAAACCTTCTTGCAGCTATCAAACAAATTTAGACAGGACACAGTTTTCCACACCAGTACTGGAGAAAATCTCCAGCTCAGGTAGCCTGCCCAAGCTGGAATTCTAAAATGGCAGTATTTCCACTGAGTCCACTTAAAGATGCCTAAAAATCCTATGTCAAGGTGGTACCAACGGAGATCTCTTACCAATGTAGAGAACGCATGGGATGGGAACAGCTCCATCACCTTGGCAACCACCTCCAGACTTTGACGCAGGTACCTTTGCCACTCGGTTTGTTGCTATAGTTACCAAATGAAAGAGCATTCAGACTTTAAAGTGACAGATACAGTGGGTACGGAAAATATTCAGACCCCCTTAAATTTTTCACTCTTTGTTATATTGCAGCCATATGCTAAAATCATTTAAGTTCTTTTTTTTCCTCATTAATGTACACACAGCACCCCATATTGACAGAAAAACACAGAATTTTTGACATTTTTGCAGATTTATTAAAAAAGAAAAACTGAAATATCACATGGTCATAAGTATTCAGACCCTTTGCTGTGACACTCATATATTTAACTTAGGTGCTGTCCATTTCTTCTGATCATCCCTGAGATGGTTCTACACCTTCATTTGAGTCCAACTGTGTTTGATTATACTGATTGGATGTGATTAGGAAAACCACACACCTGTCTATATAAGACCCTACAGCTCACAGTGCATGTCAGAGCAAATGAGAATCATGAGGTCAAAGGAACTGCCTGAAGAGCTCAGACAGAATTGTGGCAAGGCACAGATCTGGCCAAGGTTACAAAAAAAAAATGTCTGCTGCACTTAAGGTTCCT